GTTGTTGCTTCCCGAAAAAATTGTTTTCACGTTTAGAGCATTAGAAACAGTGTCGGTTGTGTGTTCGTGACTCTTCCCTTTCCTTAGGGTATCCTTTATCGATAGATCCGCATGGCATCTGTCTCGTTTCAAACCAGCATTATGTGACTCCTTTTCTATTTCAATCACTGTCTCAGTTACATTCTCTACCGCTCGCTTTTGCTGTGAGCTGCTGTACAGGGCACAAGGGATATTGACTTGGGAAGATGGCAGAATTTCACTGACTGGCTGATTCTTTTGACACGGTATAGACGGCCTTGCCTTATAAACTGGCCTCGCAGTTGCACTGGCAAGTGGCACCGCCTGGTAGGAAAAGGGATTATAAAGCGATGTGGGATTTTTATTCTCCACAGAAGGTGAGTCGTAAACATTAAAAAACTGATTAACAACAATGTTTGGTGACTGCTGCGCTGAGGATTTCGACGGCTTTGGACATCTAGTTTCCTTCTCAGGGGCTACTTCTCTTCTATTCTCATAAGATGGGAACTGGAAATCTGCACTGGGTAATGTTCTCTTTGATTGTGTTGGTCGACTAGAAAGGATGTTTAAAGGCTTATGATCAGAGGATGCACTGATAAAAATACTAGATGTAGAGGGTTCCTTCAACTTCGTTGTCTCTTTAGAATTTGACCCAAAAATATCAGAAACCGTTTTGGTCACTAAGGATAAAATGCGTTCTGTATAATTCCGATCTTCGAGGGGTAAATAAATAGAACCTTTATGGATCGATTTGTTATCACCTCTAATGGATCGATCCATGTGAAAAGATCCGAAGGGCTCTTGGTGTTCCTCACGCTGTAGTGCCTGCGTTTGAGCAACTCTGTGTACCGGTTTGACTCCTATCTGATAACTCGTATATCTCTATAAAATAAAATTAACTTCCTTTGATAAGTACTGTAATACAATTTGTGCTTGATTCCCTTTCCCTTTACTATTGAGGTAAAATTATCCATTCGCCAAAAGAAGAAAGAGGGATCAAATTTTATTATCTGGACACTCTAATCGCATGTCAATGCAACGATTAATGTACATTGGAGTTTATACCTTCCTTTTTCCAGACGAAAAAGGGTATGGTAGAAATATTCTTAGGGATAAATGAATACCCAAGACTCAAGTATATCTTTAGAACAAGGATAAAGAACCCTAGCTTTGTGGAAGCGCTAAACACATGTGCTAAATTTTTGTGGCATTATGTAAATATTTATACAGTTACTGTGACTATAGTGTTAAATAGGCTTCGTCAATGTTGTAGCCTAGGTAACAATCCCCATACATTCAGCTCAATGTGTTCTCTAGATAGAATTATCCATTTTTACGATATACCCGTTGTTTAGATTTCTTTTTCTGTAAGAGAGAGGTGTGTATGAATAAACATTGTCTCCCCATCAAAACCATGTTTATTTCCAGGTATGATAGATTCTTCCTTTGCAAATTGGCACAATTCAAACCACAATTATACTACAATATAAAATGGTTTCACTCTATTTGCAATCTGATTTGCGCATCTACGCTGCAAAATATTTGATACAAGTTAAATAAACTTTTCAACCAAATGAAGAGACATGCCTGTCGTTCTTCAGGACTCTCTTAGAGCAATATGTGCATAGACGAACCGTGCGGCATTATGTCACTTCGGCATTGAGTGATGCTAAGACTCGAAGCTGAGAGATAATAGTACTATAGGCCTAACTTCAAAATGGGTTTGGTTGAGCTACATGATGTTGCATCATATGCCAGGGCTAAGGGGAAAAGTGCTATGTTAGTTAGGCATTGTTTACCAACCACTCAAAGGTGAATTCCTTGTACAACTGATAAAATGTGAAAAGCTTGAATAGGAAAATAACACACACAAAAAAGGGATATTTTATTAATACCTAGTC